ATAGAACGCACACAATCACATACAGTATAAATAATTCATTGCATCATCCCATTTACTTAATTCAAGTATAGAGGTAAAACTGAGTGTTTACCATAGGTAAATTACTACAGCATTGAGTTTGTCCTGTTCCTAGTAAAATATTTGGTGTGCCACACAGAATTCAGGTAAGTTGTGTTAATAATGCATTCTTATAAAGGATTCATTGTTTTCTATATACACATATACCCACATATACATATTTTTTTCAGATACTTATGTTGGAGCTAATACGAGTATTTTAAGATTTTATATTGGAAGATTTTTTGTTTAGATTTTGTGTAGCATATTTGTCGATTCATGAAGTTCAGTAAGTTGTTTTATGTTTCTGTCGTTTGAAAAGCATTCTTTCAGGTTTCTTGGTATAAACCCATTCTAGGCGCTTAGAGTAAAATTTTGGACATTTCCAGGATGATGTGTTTCTACGGTCAGAGTGCAGTGGCATTCATCGCATAGTATTGGGCTTCGCCCTAGGAGAAGATGTGATGAAGTTAGGTGGGTATGGTCCAATCTTTATTCTTGTAAGACAAACTTGTTCTCATCTAGTTAGGCCTGTCCGGATATTTCCATTTCTCGATTGTAGGTTGTAGTATCCTCAAACGACTTATACTTGGCTCCACTGATTTTGCCAACGTTGATGTATCTGGAGCTTGAAATGGGCTTTTAGGTCTTCAGGAAGTACGGTGCTGACGGGGGTTCCATTTTGGGTCGCGTATTATTATTATTATTATTATTACAATTATCAAATATTATTATAATTATCATTATTATAATTATTATTATTATTGTTATTATAATATTATTATTATTATTATTATTATAATAATTATTATTATTATAATTATTATAATTATTGGTATTATAATATTAGTATTATTATTATAATTATTGTAATTAGTATTATTATTATTATTATTATTAATAGTAAGATGTAAGAGTACAATTAATTATAATAATAATAATAATCATAATTATAATAATATTATAGTGATAATAATAATTATAATAATAATAATGATAATTATAATAATAAAATAATAATAATAATATATATAATAATTATAATAGTAATAATTACAATAATTCCAATAACTATAATAATAATCATAATTATAATAATAATAATAATAGTAATAATAATAATTATAATAATAATAATAATAATTATAATTATAATAATACTAATAATAGTAATAATAATGATAATTATAATAAAAAGATATGAAAGAAGCTCTAAAGCAAAGATTAACGAGTAGGGTCAAATCAATACTTAAGACTCATCTGTCCGCAATACACAAAGTAAGGGCCATTAACACATATGCTATTCCGACAATAACATATAGCTTCGGAATAATCAAGTGGACAGACTCTTACTTAGAGCAGCTAAACAGAAACATAAGAGTCTTATTTACAAATCATAGAGCAAGACATCCCAAGAGTTCGATCGAAAGATTCTACTTGCCAGATCCAAAGGGGGACGAGGCGTGATTGACCTTAAAGCAGCTAACCTGCGGAATATAGAAAACCTCAGGAGATTCTTTTATAGAAAGGGCGAAACATCTGCATATCACAGAAATATAGCTTCAGCTGACTACAAGTTCACACCACTGAACCTGTCGGATGAACAGTATGAACCTCTAACCCATGTGACCACCGACGAACAATGGTATCATCAATGGAAGTCCAAACAGCTTCATGGAAGACATCCAGCCATGCTCAGCTCAGATCACATTGATGCAGAAGCGTCACATGGATGGCTGAAGAGTGGGGAGCTATTTTCGGAAACTGAAGGTTTCATGATTGGCATTCAAGATCAGGTGATACCAACCTTAAACTATAGAAAATACATCATGAAAGAAGAAGGCATTGAAGATAGATGTCGTATATGCCATAACAAGTCGGAAACAATAGAGCATATCCTGACGAGCTGCACTCCCCTAGCTTCCACTGAGTATCTGAAGCGCCACGACAACGTGGCTAAAATAGTTCACCAAGAAATTTGTTATGCTGCGAACATACTAACTGACCGCACCCCATATTACAAGTACCAGCCGACTCCAGTTATAGAAACTAACAGCCATAAAATATACTGGAATAGAACAATTCAAACAGATCACACCATGGAATACAACAAACCAGATATCGTAGTTCAAGATAAAATGAAGCAAGTTACCTGCATAATTGACATTAGTGTGCCTGCCCCACATAACATAGCTGAGAAGCAGACAGAAAAGGTTCGCAAGTACTTACCACTAGCTGCAGAAGTAAAAACACTGTGGAATCAAGAAAAAGTTGAAGTCATCCCAATAGTGATCGGAGCCACAGGAGAAATACCTAAGAGTCTACATAAATATATTGAGAAACTAAATCTGCCGCAGAAACTATACCTCTCACTTCAGAAAGCTGCTATCTTAGGTAGTTGTCATATAGCACGCAAGGTCCTGAATGTAGCCACATAGACAAAGAGAAACCAATAGTCACACTCAGACGCTTGCAGTATAATGCCGCGTTTGAGGATACCACCTGCAGTAGCAGAGAATAGCTAACAGAAAACGGAATAATAATAATAATAATAATAATACTAACAATTATAATAATAATAATAATAATAATAATTATACCATACCATACCATACGATTTATTGACGATTTATTGATACATAGAGATATATGTTTGAAGTCACAAACTAGATAAAGTTTATAGAGTCTGTCTTCTTGCTCTACACACGATCACTGATCACTAGGATCACATGCACTTAAATATTCACTTACAGTATAGAAGCAGTTTTGTAACAAATAGTTTTTGACAAACCTAGAGAACTGTTTGTTAGACATCTTCTCAATATTGGACCGCTTATGATATCTAACAAAGTTATTGTAAAGCGACACATTAATCTTATTGTGTTGTGTCATGGCGATCCTAGATTGCGGTAATGATATATCATTAGCGTATCTTGTATTATAGCTGTGTCTCTCTGATCTTATCGAAAAAGTACTCACTTTTGCGTGAACATGTAAAAGGGTCTCATGTATGAGCAGGCATGCTAACGGCAGTATGCGCATCTTTTTGAACAAACCGCGGCACGTATGATCGTAGGAGACGCCAGCTACAATCCGTATAGCAGCCTGTTGCATTGTAAATGCTTTTTGGGCATTGACAGAATTACCCCAGAGGATGATACCATACGACAGATGACTATGAATGAGGCTAAATTATACAGTTCTCATGGTTTGTCTGTGCAAACACTGAGCCAGTTGCTGCATGATAAACATCTATCTGGAAATCTTGGTACACACCTGGTCCACATGCTCCGACCAGGTCAAGCGGCTATCCACAACGATCCCTAATAACTTTACGGATGATGAAGTCTCATTCCATTTGTCTGATGTTATTCTTAGCTTGCTGGTTTTCGCTTCATTAAGTTTGAGCTTGTTTGCGGAGAACCACCGCTTAACCTGGTCGAGACTGTGGGCCTCGTCAAGTTGGGTAGCCTTGGAGAGCAGAGTAGTGTCGTCTGCAAAAAGGTAGCATTTGCTATTGTTGACATTTTGTGGGAGGTCATCGATGTAGATTAAAAATAATAGAGGGCCCAAGACAGAGCCCTAGGGTACCCCGTTCGTAATCGGTAGAACCTGGGATTCTACTCCATCAAGGCTAACCATCTGTCTCCTATTAGCTAAGTATGATCTCATAAGCTGTGATGACTTGCCACGGATCCCATAGAACTCCAATTTGTCAAGCAGTATAACTGCGTCTACACAGTCAAAAGCCTTGGTTAAGTCACACATAGTTGCTAGAGCGGTGGTTCTCTTGTCAATGCACTCTAATGCATCCTCAAGAAAACTAAGCATGGCTTTAATGGTTGAACAGTGCTTTCGAAAACCAAATTGGGAAGCTGAAAGGAGGGAGTGCTTTTCAAAGTACTTTATTAATTTTTCTTTGATTACAATTTCGAATAATTTACTTATTAATGGAATTATTGTGATTGGCCTATACTGCCGTGCTTAGCAGAAACGCCGTATATACAAAAAAATTGAAAAATGAGTTTTTTACATATTCTTGCTTGAATTCATGTTTTCTATATATAGAACTTAGCAAAAATGCCGTTTGAAGCACCTTAACCATAAAACAACATAACTATTTTGCAGTAACTAACAAAAATTTGGTTGCATGCTCATTAAAACTGCCGTATCTAACATTATTTAGCATAAATGCAACATCTTCCGGTCAGATTCTGCGTTTTTGCTAAGTACATGTGAATTGCCGCGTTCCTCCCAAGTACAAGTCGTGTCTTGACTGTTATTAATTATTATGATGATGCATTAAAAACGTGGTCAGTTGTTTGTTTTGGTCCGTGCGGATTGCAGTGTTTTGTTGAGGGTTGTTTTATTATGTCCAAAAGAACGAAACTAATTTTGGATCTAGCCATGGGTGCTACATACCAAGCTCCAGCTGGTATTTCTGAGTTACCTACACAAACCATTCTATTTGACATAAAAACTCAATTTTTATGAATTTTAGATTGCTAAGGATGCTAATCTTACAAAAGCTGGAACTAAACGCAAAAGAAAAAAATCAGCGAGAGTTTGTTAAGCAGGAAAAAGAAAAAAGCCGAATTAATAAAAGCGCTGTCGGTCTTTCGTGTAATAAGGAAAAATGTAAAATTAGATGTTCAGTACTTTTTTCTGAGGATCACAGACGTGAAATCCATAACCAGTTTTGGGAACTATCTCATGCAGAAAGAAGATCATTTGTTTTAAGCTCTTGCGAACGTTTGGAAATTAAGCGTCGAACAACAGAAAATAATGCTGAACCACATGTTAGACATAATGTTTTCAAATACACCTTCAAAGACAGCCTGGGGTAAGAAAACATGTGTGTAAACACTTTTATTTGACCATTCTCGGATACAACCCAACGAATGATCGATTCATTTATGAAGTTCTATCAAAAACGCCAAAAGGAATCATAGTACCGTTAGAAGACCAACGAGGGAAAAGTCGTTCAGCAAACTTTATTCAAAAAATGAGTTAGATGCACATATTGAGTCTTATAATCCAGTTAGTTCACATTACAGACGTGCACATGCACCAAATGTTCGATATCTTCCCAGCGATATAACTGTCAGAAGCATGCATGCTGATTTTTTAGAAACATTTCCTAATATTAAGGTGTCGTATAATATATATAGATGTCAGGTTGAAAAGAAAAATATATCTTTTGCTAGACTTGGCAATGAAGAATGTGAAATTGTGTGAGTATGAAGCTTTATGAGCATAATGAAGATAGTCTTCAACCTGGATGTGAAACCTGCACGATTTGGAAATATCACATTGATATGGCTAAAGAGTCACGAGAAAAGTACCGACAACAAGCGCATGATAATGAAAAAAGTAACTCCTATTTTTCTGCTAACTTAAAGAAAGTGATAATGTTGCCAAGATTAGAGACATTTAAAAGGGTCTTATTTATCCAAAGGCTTTCAGTTTATAATGAGAGCTTCGTTCCACTGGGGAAAAAGAGTCTGGCAAAACCTTTTGCAGTACTGTGGCATGAAGGTATAAGCGGAAGAGACCAAGATGATGTTACAAGTGCATTTTATGCATTTTTTAAAAAACAAGGAGACTTAGAAAAAAACACTGTTAGGCTTGATAACTGCTCCAGCTAAAACAAAAATTGGTGCTTATTAAGTTTCCTTGTTTTCATTATAAATTCAAGTGAAATAAGTGCTGAAGAAATTGTCATTAATTATTTTGAACCAGGGCATACATATATGTCAGCAGACCATTTTTATCATCAAGAGGAGCTGTCCTTAAAGAAACAAGGAAAAGCGTATGATTTTCCAGATTTGTTAATGCTGTATCCCAAACAAATAAGGGAACAGTAGAAATCAATAACATGTCTTTTTCAGATTTCTATTCTTTCAAATCTTTCGTTTCACAACAAAAATTAAAGAAACAAATGAATCGAATTTATCTCAAAGACATTGTTCAGATTACCGCTCGCAGAGGGCAATATTATCTTCTTTTCAAAACCTCACATTCGGAATTGGAGCCGAATAATTGTTTAGATTTTCTACAGTTTAAAGCAACCAAGCCCAATGGTATGAAATTGCCGGAGCCGTTACATAAGCCTCGCGGTTTTAATTCAGAAAAAAAGGAAAACATTTTAAAAGTGTTGAATACAATAATGCCTGAAAACAGAAAAGATTTTCGGCGAAATATACCTGCTAGAGCTGATTCCAATTAGTGTTGTTCTTTGGTATTTAGCGCATATCATTATGAATATTTGTATTTTTGTTTTTAGTTTGTAAGAGAATCAAAACAAGAAGTCTGTTTTTAAATATATCGAGAGTATAATTCTATCTGTCACAAATTATTGGAAAGTAATTAGCAGAAACACTTAGCAAAAACGCAGTACCGCAATAATCTCAAGCAACATGTGACTTTCATTATACTTCTTGCTTAAGAGAAATGCAGTTTCTGGCTTGAAAATAAAACCAGTCATTTTTTTTCTACATTTTTGTGAAAATATGTTTTCTCAATTGAATATACTGGGTTATGACAATAGAAGGCAGCGAAAGTATTTGAACTCTCTTACGGCTCTGAAAAAAAGAAAAAACATGTTTTCCTCCATGCTTTATTTTTTGTAGATGCGGTGTTATCGCTAAGCACGGCAGAATACAGGGCTGTACATATTCACGTGTAGTGCAGAAGCTCTGTGATTTCAACAAATTCAATATAGCAACATAAATAGACACCCCAACGGCAAAGCAGTGGTATAAGCTTTTGGTAAAAGAACCATTAAGCCATAAAAGCTCTCTATTGTTGTTGCCTGAACATCAAAATGCTGGCTTAATGTCGTGTGGAATGCATATTTGCTTTCTGCGACATATTTGCTCTAAAATGAGGTGTTTAAAATATTCTTATAGCATAGTTATACAACACCTTATAGGGCAAATTTTTAACTGTTGCATAAACGTTTATACAATTATTTTATACGGCATATTTGTAAGTTAGTCAAAATGGTTGTGTTGTGGCATCCATTGTAACGTTTATAAAACAAACTCGAGCCTTGTTGTTTTGCTGTGCAATTTACTACTTTAGCTAACAAATTGCTCCCAACGGAATCACTTATACAACTGCTGTTTAGTAACTGTTAAAGGCTGTACATATGCTAAATATGTTTGTAAACAACTCCACCATAACCTAAGTTTCTGCTGTCATATTTTGTTAAAATGCCATAACCAATGTTTTAAGACAAACAACGCATGCATATTGGTTCAAAAGGTTTTATCAACTGTTCAAACAGAAGATATAGATCTGGTACAAATTCTGGGTAAATCATTCGACTCTGTCCGTATTTCATTTCAGGCATTTGTCAAATTGCTGTAAAACACCTGCAGGCAACACCAAAATATTCAAATAACCTAAAGACAACATGGACGATGCCATGATTGTACACGACCACCCGCAATATTGGGCAAAGATTTATTCCTCTATTTAATATTAAATAATTATGTTTTAGTTCGAAGTTACAGATATAAAGTGATAAAAATTAGTGTAATTGTGTCTAAATATAGGATTTGTGGAAGATTTAATGCAGATAAGTTCAGTTTTCCATCTTAAAAATTTAGACATATTTTATCATTGTCAAAATATGAATCAAATACGAAGCCCGTAGAAATTGGGTAACTAATTTTCACGATAATCACAATAAAATTTGCTGCGCAAGTAAATCAATAGCCAGATATCACAGTGTAGAAGTTATCGTATACCTGTGTATGAAATTCACAATGGCCGATATGTAAGTAAACAAGATGCCTGTAATGTGCTAGTTATAGATTGTTCACTTCGTCTATACAATACATAAGAAATAGTTTGGTTGCAATAAAGTAGAATCACGTAACACAATAGTTGTATAGTTGACAAAAACTGAATCCTGCACTGACGCAAATGTCTTATAGCGGCTGCAAGAGGCTTACACTTTTGTTTTATAACTGTTACCTGCAGCCCTTATACAACCTCTTAAATGACTGAAGTGTCCTATTAGGTGTTTAAGGAATACTTGCAACTCTAATATGAGTGATAATTGTTAGTTGGGACATATGTGGGAAGAGATGCGGGACATGTGGTATTGACTTTGACCATCGATTGACGCATTTTCTGGACAGGTCACAGGCGCGCCGCTAAACAAATCTCATAAATGTCTATTTCCAATTTAGGCGTTCATCTAACATAGTGTTTCGCAGCAAGACCAACTCCGAACAAATTCAGTCAAACTTTCCACACTTTTCAAGTTACTATTAAGCAACAAACAGACCATAAATCACTTTTTAAGTGCAATCTGTATCACTCATATATTACTCAGGCTTAGATTTGTCACAAGCCACAATACTCGTTTATAAGTTTAAATCGTAAGTATTGTACTGTACACGTAAGTGATGACAAAGAGGAACAGCACTTGGAATACCAAAGGATACCAGAAAATCGCAATGCTCAGTTTCTATAGCAATAACTTATAGTTAGTATGTCACCGTCGCCATGATGTGTCAGAAAGTAACGCAATGGTGTTATATTAAAAAGCAAGTATCAGAAATCTAAGCCCCCCCCCCCCCTAAATCCGCGGCAAACGAGGCTTTCTTAGAATAAGGACACCTTAAAGCTTAATGTGAGGAGCTACTTCATAATAGCCCTAAATCTTGACATTGCATAAGTGATATTTTTTAGCTTTTAGAGAATTAAAAACTGAAAGCAATTGATCGTCTTGAAATGTATTTTTAACGGGAGGTTCTTTATTATTGAAAAGTAGTGCTCCACAGCAAAATGAACAGACAGTTATCGTCCGCTGGCCATCAGGAGTTTGGTACACAATACTGTACCTTAGCTGACAAGAAGCGAATATCTAGTTTGGTAGATGACCAAGCTTTATCAGAAGGCCATTTGATTCGGTTTGTCAGAATTGAGACAACTGAGGTCCGAGTTTGGCACTCTTTCTCTGTCATCTTATCTCATTGCTTTGCTTGTCCAAGGACAGTGTGCAGATGCTGTTCCGCCCATACTTGAGGCTGTTTAGAGGTGATCTATTTAATAAGCTGTACTGAGCCTACCATTGAAGCGCGACAGGTTATAGACTCTTTATTACTATACGCCAACGAACTTTGCCCTTTTGCGCTTTCTCTCATAATAGCACACTTCCGCCAGGCCTGCTCCTCATTTTAGCTCTTTTGAACTCCATACATCGAAAAGTAATCAGTGCGACCATTGTAATGATCCTAGGGTTTAGAAGAAGGAAATTCCAATAACCAGCGAATTGGAATAGGTTAGAAGGGCCAACCCAATATGTGTAAATTGTATTGTTTACTACCGCCTACCAAAATGACAAGCCAATAAATTACTTCCTCTCAGAAGCCATGGAAAAGATATTCAAGTAGCTAAACCTAGAGTGTGTACTCACATAGAGCAAGGCAGAAATACGATCTGTGTTACTATGTGAATCGCTCAGTTATTATTAATAAACAGAGATAAATCAACTAAGGCAACAAAACAAAAGTAAATATTTATTAACGGCACAGCATATGAACAATTCTGCTTATTTCGTGATTTTAAAAGGTTAATAATACGAAACATTCTCTCCATCAAACAGCAACAATGGCGGAATACCTGATATTGGAAATAGTGGGACACCTTCTATAATCCTAAAATAACCCATTAGGGGTGGCCTTTTTGCCACAGAGTCATTTTCTGCATTCCATTATCAAAGGGCCTAGAGATAAATTCAGCAGCGTCTGATGCCCTTCAATTTTCCTTTCTATTGCACAGCATTAGCAACACCTACTTGATACTGCATATGTCGAGCATCGAAAACTGCGAGGCGTACAAATCGACAAAAGAGGAAGACGGCGAAACGGCCACTAAGTACAATTTAAAGGATTATTTACTAATACTTCACACCTGGAGGTAATTTAGCCGCGATAAGGACCTCACAGAAAGCCTGGTTGGCCGTTAACAAAGTGAAATACGCCAGATAAATGGAAGGTATTGTCGAGAACGGAGACCGTTGACGTCGACGGGTTCGATAGTGAAATTTAGCCGTGTGGCTTTCAACAATGGCCGTATTCTTAGCGGTTGTGCGGAGAATTCAAAACGTCTGTTAATGACCAAGATTTAATTCTATTCAGATGGAATCTACCCAAATATTGCTTAAATCTAAAATAAACGTTCGTACATACTGGAGTCAAAATGTTTACGCACTTACATAATATACTGAGGGACAGATGGAAAATTTGGCACAACTTAGAAGGTCATACCTACCTTTTCCCTTGAATAATAAGGGGGTTGAGACCCAGTATTATGCATGGGGGTCCACAGTCTCATAACTGGACTACTTTACGATAACAGATAAATGCTACCAAAAGTTTCGTAACCGCTATGCATTCTCAGCAAGGCGGAAGGGTGAGATAGCCGGTTACTGTTTTTTTCTGGACAGAACCAATGCCGCAATAATAATTAGAATAAGGGAGGAGGGAAGTAGGAAGAACGTTAAGAAACGCTAAAATATAGTATCCGAATTTTTTATTTGTCAAAGCGACACGATAAATGGTGTAAGACGCAACAGTTTATATATTGGTGCTATTGTGTTTCCTACCATTTGGTACGTCGCTGGCACGACAAACAACATATTACAGGTTTGTGAAGTTAGCCCCAAAAAAACGGAGGCTAGCAATTCATTTATTTCATTCATTTGTCCATCAATTCATTTGACTTGTCCACCCTCTGTACTGTTCTAAATAAAAAAAATTAATTTTGGAGCTTCACGCAGAAAGCTGAAAAAATATTCAAGAGAATCGGAGGAGTGTTTTTTTACTTCTGTGGGGTAGACAAACCATGTATGGACAAACGAATGCAATGATGTTTATCTTTGACGAAGCGTCTCCGACAATTTTGCAGGGGTGTGAACTTAGCCCCCGTAGTAGTATTTTAGAAAATGTTTGAGAGGGTCGGATGATTTTTTTTAGATCTGTAGGGTGAACAAACGGCTGCGATGGGTGGACAAATGAATACAACGATGTTCATCATTGATGAAGTGTCTCCGGCAATTTTGCAGAGGTGTGAAGTTAGCCCCATATTCAATTCTGCTAAAAACAGTTTTTTGCTCCAAAGGGTTGCTTTAATTCATTCAGTGAATCGATTATGTGTTTTAAGTGGTCAGCAAAGGTCGAGAACTTCTTTTATTCTTAATAAATCTTTTCCAGCAATTTTGAAGACAATTCACTAGAAATTTGAGGTCAGGGTGGGGCGGTTTTTTTCCATTTACACCAAACTCAAAAGTGGACAAATAAAACTAAAGGGTGGACAAATGTGGACTAACGATGTACAAGCGAGAGACGACACGTTTCTTCAGTATTCGAAAATTTTGGGGCTGCATGAAGTTAGCGCCAAAACTTATTTTTTATTTTCAGAGAATACAAAGGGTGAACAAATCAAATTAATTGGTGGAAAAATGTGGACAAAAAATGATGGACAAACGAATGACATGAAGGAATCTCGGGCCCCCGGTTTTTGGGGCTAACTTCACGGATCTATACATATTACAGAGGTTTTAGATCAGCTGCTGGGCTTTTAACACAACATTCAATTAAAGCTGAATGTTAGCTTGATCATAAATGATGAACGTATCTGCCTCTTATAAGTAGAAATTACTGTCTTAAGGTGCAGTATATTTGCTGTTTAAATATTATAAATCTCTGGATATTTAGTTTGGTTACAAGGACACATCAATTCAGCTTGTGACCAAACCTCTGGCCAGTCAGTGCGCAATGCAGATGGCCTATTAATATACCATAACTATTTAGCCAAGCCAGGGAGTGAGCAAATTCCATTAAGCCGTTTGGGCGGTAGTCTCTGAAATCGATATAGTCTAATCATATCATATCAGAGTCTGGTTTTATTGATCACAGTTGCTGTGGTTCCTGACAACACTTTCGATTGATCCCAGAAAACCCGGTTTCTCATTCTTTGTTGTCGAATAAAAAGTTTTCCCACAAAAATTGGTGTACCCATTTTATGCGTCCATGTTTTAAATACCCCCTTAGACAACTTGCATCAATAAAAAGAGAGTTTACAATTATTTCGGGCAAATTTGCTAATGTGATTAGACTAATATTCCAAACTTATTTCTTGGTATAAAAGGTAGCGTATGCAATACTATCTGTATCCGTTCAGCCATTTATAATATTAGTAGGGATTGTTTTTAGTGCATATAATAGCTCCCTTTAAAACAATTACGCAGAAATTACCAATGGTTAAATTTAATTTCTATTTTTATGCAGTAATTTGATATTAAGCTAATATGCTTTATACATTTTATTTCAATTTTCAACCTTCACGAAAAGATCTTAAAAAATACAGAAAATGCGAAAGAATAAAAAATATTTGGCAGTATACGCCTCTGAGTTCATAGTTAAAACCAAATAAGGCGTGAGATTGGAAGGTGACAAAGCGTAAGATTTAAGAGTGGTAGCCTTGTGTGTACAAGGGCATTTAAGAATCCTAAGTGAACCTTTGAGTGAAATATAGCGAAATATGGGTGGTCCACAGCTGTTAAAATCCGACAAAAGGTGCAACGTGAGTCCCACAATAAACATATTTTTGCACGATTTCGCACTTGAGATTGTTTGCAAAGAATGGATAGGTATAAATCAGTCTATACACTCATATGTCCTAGATTTGAAGGTTCACGTGCTCAAGTGGTTTATTTTGTAATTGCTTATTGTTTTCCACAAACAAGAGCAGGTAAGACGAAGCAAAATTGTGACACGTATCTTCCTTTTGGGATTCGTACATAATGGCCTACTTTTAAAACGTTGTGAGCTATATGAACAGGTGTATAAGGTGTTTGTGTTGTAGCACTATTTTTCTTCACACGCCAATAAGCAAAGTGTTATCAATGAACAACGCGATTTTGACATATTACGGGTCTTTCTACCCCACTACCCCAATGGCTCGCGCAGAGGTGCCAGAAGGTCATGGCCCCCTGTTGAGTATCCGTTTGTGTACAATTTTGGAGACTTTCAGAAATGTCACCCTGATGAACCTGGGTTATGGTAGTATCAGGTAGAAAACATAGTTTTTGATCATTTTCGGAACAGCTGTTGTAGCATAGGAGGTGGATCTTATTTTTTATAATACATATAATATAACTTTTGGTCGACACTGTACAATCCATCGAAATCTTGGCAGCTGACTAAACATTTGACCGCATACTTGGCGATGCCCATGAGAAACAAAGTAACTCACTTAGATCTACACTGCCATGCTAAAAGAACAATGTGGGTATCTACAATTTTCGGCTTTATTTGATTATTGAAACCTAGTAAAACAGTGTTTTTTCTTCACTCATTGGCAAATTTTTTTAGCCGTAACATGCACTACTTTTCTCAGATTCCTACATTTTAGATTGTTAGTAACTGCACAAATGATTCAGAGGTTCAAACTTTGAACGCCTGTTCCTGGGTTTCATTTTATCTTCATATCCGTTTATAATGGTAGTATAGAGATGGGGGAGCTTTGACAGAAGGCTGCTGGTATTTTTTACCCATGCAATGGATCAGAAATATTAATTTTCAGTCTATTGCCTTGACTGAAAAAACGTGTTCTTGTTTGACTTCGTTACAATGAGCAGTTTCCGACAGAAACAGTGTTATAGGATTCCATAAGCGGCTATCTAAATGAAACCACATATGAATTCTACTTTCTACAGATGTTTCTATGGTGGCTTTTTTCGATGCATAAATTGATGACAGTGACAGTATACTTTGTTTACGGCCAGTACAAAGTTGTTCATACAAATGTAGTTTCATCTAGCGGCCAGAACAATCATGGAGTCTATCGTCATGAAAACCACAATAACAATATAAGTTTCAGATATAATCAGTATTGCTGCAATACTGTTCATCTTGATTGAGGCTGCAGTTATTCCGCAAAAAAATGAAATAAAAATCTAAAACTTCAAATATCTGGGTCGCTGACTACAGACTTTAATGAAAATCACTATATTCCCAAAATAGGGAAAACAGTAGATATATGTTTACAAAAATTGATAGGATTTTACTATATCAGAAATAATCAATTTTATCGTATCAAATAAGAGTACAGTTTTCAGCTAAAGAACCCGCTTCACATGAATGTTATCGTCGAAGCATTATCTTTTTATGTTCTGTGTACATCTGACAGATTAACATATTATTCTGGGACACCACGTGTATGACGTTCTGTGGTTTACACATAGGTCACACAGACTAATCAAATTCAAGCGAATAACCAAATGAAAATGGTATATACCATTTTGGATTTGTATTGATCGATCCGTTCAAGCGAGTATCGTTATCAGTTTGGTTATAAGGTCCGTGACGTCGTTAATCAGCTTATATATCATAGTTATCACCGTAAATTTGTGGTATTTACCCAACTCCGGAGTAATTTTATATTTCTGGTTATTATTTGAAATGCGACAAGTTTGAATTTTGGCGGGTATTGCATATTTTCAGCTTCATTTTTGGGAAACCGGATGACTTCAGTTTTAAATAAAGTAGAGCACCTTATTAGTTATACTCATTACTGTTGTTGGAACCACTTTAAACCTAGTTGCTATGCTTAACAAAGTATCCTGTGTAGCCACATGCCACAAGAACATTAAAATATGCCCATATAAAAACTCACTGGATACTGTCCACCTGAATACGGTTTTGCTAATACCTTTTTTCGTCGCTTTTTCCTATTATTTTTCTAAACCAATAAATATTTTCTTTGACATGCGGAAAAGTTTAAAGAATTGAAAGATATATCTACAAAGCCATGTTTCCACCGTTAGAATTTTGGGCGTCATATCTTTTATTTTCACGACAAACTTGTTTAAAAATAAGAGAGAAAAAAACATTTCCCCCATTAATATTAGGAAAGTTT